TCAGATCTGACATATAAAGAAGAGCAATTACTGGGCTCATCAAAGATGCAGGTGCTGCCCTCACAAATCTATTTCACAAGGCATTGGTCAAGGGTATACCTTCTGGACCCTCCCAGCTGGGATGAGTAGGTCAAAAGTGACTAACCCACTCCATCATCCCAATCTCCCTAAGCCTTTGGATCCCTTCCTCTATGTCAAACCAATGGAGATTAGGCATTTCCAGCTCACTAGCAGTGGGCCATCTTTTAATCCGTATTTCAGCTAACCAAGCAAATAAACTATTGAACCTTTTTAACTCCCCAAGCTGTAATATTAAGTGCAGAGTCCTTACTTAGTGGGCCAAATCAATAAATTCAGCCTGATCCAACTTTATGTTTCTTCCACTGTCATCCCATACCCTTAATATCCATGCCTGTTCTCCAGATTTCTGTTTATATAAATTAGAGAACTCAAACAGTTCTTTTTCGAGTATAGTGTCCCTCCTCATGGGTCACACTCTCAACCTCACCTCTAGGGGCCCTCCGGGACTTCAGTCTAGTTATAGGTCTAGAAGCAAACAAAAGAGTTGGGAGGGGCTGCTGAGGAGAATCAACATTATCTTGCCTGATAACTGCCTCAGGGGAGGCCATCACTGTTGCCTCAGGCAGCACAGGATTTATCTCCTCAGACAAAGGTGGAAAAGCTGATAGCTGCCTGGGTTGGGGAGGGGATGTTGCCACTACTGTGGATAGGGAATCTGTTTCTTCTGGCAAAAAGGTTTATCAGAGTTTACAAACTCAGTGTCCCCAGCTTCACCAGCGTCCTCCCACCCATCCCCATTCCAAGTTCTGGGGTCCCATTATTTTCCAATCAATGCCCTCACTTTAACAGTAGACACCTGACAAGGCTGTGCATGCATCTTTCATTGCAGGTCAGCCACTCGCATGATAAGAGCTTGTGTCTGTTTTTCCACAATTTTAGCTCTTTCTCTACAGGAGATAAGACTCTCACTTAGTACAAGCTTAGCAGATTTGAGACTCAGTATCTGCTTCTGAACTCAGGAGACAGAATCCCTGAGTTCATCATTTCTTTCATCATTTTGTCCACTGAACTTAGGAGCAACCAACCACCTTCATTATGTTCATTGTCCACATATGGTCAAAGGTATTATGTATAGAGTCAGTAAACTCCTTGCCTCATACACACACACACACACACACACACACACACACGGGTTTATTAAGTATTAACTTACACAATCACATGTCCCACAAAAGGCTGTCTGCAAGCTGAGGAGCAAGGAGACCCCAGTTCAAGTTCCAAAACTGAAGAATTTGGAGTCTGATGTTCAAGGGCAGGAAGTATCCAGCACAGGAGAAAGATGTAGGCTTGGAGGCTCAGAAAGTCTCTCCTCTTCACGTTTTTCCTGCCTGCTTTATATTTGCTGGCAGCTGATTAGATTATGCCCACCAGATTAAGGGTGGATCTGCCTTCCCCAGCCCACTGACTCAAATGTTAATTTCTTTTGACAACACCCTCACAGACACACCCAGGATCAATATTTTGTATCCTTCAATCCAATCAAGTTGACAGTATTAACCATCACATACTGTAATAAAAGTTATGAAAATGTGGTCTTCCTTTCTCTCTCACTCTCAGAATATCTTATCATACTGTACTCACCTATTTTCCAACTGCAGAAAGCAGAACTACAGATACAGGGAGACTACTCATCTCTTAATATGATTCATTTGGGCTGAAATCTGTTTCCTCTTGGGTCTCTGAGAATTGCCATATTTTAAAACCTTCTATGTGTATCATGACTTCTAAACCTCATGATAACCCCCCAAGGCATCAACATTAATCCATTTTACAAATGGGGAAATATTACTTAGACAAATAAAATACCCAAAGTCACACACCCAATGAGTCGTAGAATGGGAATTCAAATCCCAGTCCTTGTAACACCATGAGTCATTTTCTTTGTTTCACTTAAATTTGTAAGTACATTCTAATTATACTACTAATACAAATACTAATTTCATCTAAATATAAGATAAATTTTACATCAGCTGTCTTCTGAACATATTAAGACCAAGCCCTTATTTTGAAATGTTTGATAAAATTCACAAAGAAACTGCTGAACTCAAGACAGTATCCCTTTAATCACTATAATGAAAACAGAAAACTTCTATTTAAAACAATGACAAAACTTGATAAGCTATAGTCTTGTTTGATGTTAACATGAACTCTTCTTTGATCTTCACTTTCTTTGTCTGACACCCTTGATTGCATCCCAACAACCATCCCCAATCCCTTATCCCTATCTTTTTATACTTTAAAGGCTAATTTTCCCAGACTCTTTTGCATGTATATGTGGCCAGGTGATCCAGGTCTGCCTAACGAAAGTGAGAGTATTCCTTTCATTGATTAAGCAAACCACAGCTCTTTGCCCCTGTTCCTTTCTTCATGTTTAAAACAATGGTTTGATGCTTGGAATTACAGCAGCTATATTGTGACCATGAGCCAACATATCCAAGGTTGCTAGATTTAGCAAAGAAATATATGTAATGGCCCACTAAAGTTTTAATTTTAGATAAGGTATGAATAAATTGGTAGTATATGTCCCAAATAATTTATAACATATACTAAAAAGAGTGTAATTTTGTAGGTAATACACACAAACATGTATTATATATATAAATTGAAGAGCTTAAGTTAGAGTCAACTTAAACACAAAATTCCACAAACTGTCAAAACCCTGAGTTTTATTGTTGCTTTATTAAATTGTGAAAGGATAAAAGGAATGTAAAATATGTGTATGGCACAAAGAAAAACAATACACTGAACACTTTGTTAATTGTCACCTAGCCTAAGAAAAAGAACAACCTCAAAGGCAATCTCTATCCTGGATTTTGTGTTTAATCATCCTTTGCCATTTTAATAATTTCCTTGCTTTCCTTTGTTCATCTTTATCCCCTCTGAAAAGCTAAGAATGGAAATAAGACCTTTGCCTTTTACGATGCACTGAAGATAGCCTGACAATATTCCTCCCCTTAGCCCCCAGATTACTAGGCTAACGAGAATTACGCAAAATTTAAAACAGGAAGGTGCTCTTCATCTTGATCCTCAGAAAAAAAAACATGACAAAGGTTGACCTTTACAGAGGTAGTTAGGTTTCTAGATAAAAAGAGATACAAGTGACAAACCAAAGACAGAGGGAAATCCTAAACTTAGGGGGTTGAGGTTTTGGTCTTTGTGTGTTTTTAGAGAAGCAACCTCAACTTTCAGGTTTCTGAAAGGGCTCCCTGCTTTTCCTTCAGCTCAGTCCTAGGCAAGCAGACCCCCTGCCCAAGCCTCCCTCCTGAGATCCTGCATATGCTTTCTTGCTAAATGACTCTTAGCACCGTTATCTCCTCACGGGATACATCTGTTGGGTGCCTCGCATCCTCAGCTCCACTTTCATCTCTTCTATCTCAACACATTGTTTCCTCCACTCCTGGTGCCAGGGTGGAAGGAAGCCATCCCGCCCGGCCGCGCTTGGGGATTGGCAGCCAATGAATGATTGGCAGCGGGCATCTCTGTCAGAGCTTTGGCATGCTGCAGAGTAGAAGCCCCGTGCTAATGAATGCCATCTACACCTACCAGATGTGCCACTGGGTGACATGCCAGATCTTTTACATAATGCCATTCTGCCGGACACAAGACAGCTGGGGGGTGGGGAGGGGTGTCTTTTAATGCTTTGGGATGGGAGTAGATCTGGCTTTCCTTATTTCACTTCTTATTCAGACCACCCGCCACCACCCATACACCCAATCAGCTCCCTTTACATTGGGCCAAGGCTCAGGGTATCTCTCTTGGAGACAGTGGCAAAGCAGGAGAGTTTGAGTTCCCAGGACATATGCCCTGTCCTCTGGCTCTCCTCCATGCTCATCATTTCCTTGAGTTCGCTCCCTGCCTGCATCCAGATTCAGGAAAGGGAAATAGCTTTCAAAATTAAAGAAATAAAAGCACTAATGGGATCTGAAATGAAAGGAAGGAAGGGGAAAAACTACACTTCCCATTCCCGTCCCTAATATTCTCTTCTTCCCTAGTCTGAATGTGCAAGGATGAACTTCCCACACCCCACCCCTTTGGCAGCTTCTGTTCTTTCCTCTTCCACCGTACACAGGAAACGGGAGAGTGTTTATCCCCAAGGGTGATATCCTGTTAGTGCCTGTCCCACGTTCTGGCTGAAGTAGCTGTCTTAAGGTGGAGTCGTCCAAAAATCCGTACCGTTTGGGGAGGAATGTTTCCTGGAGTGGGATGGACAAAGTGGGAAGAGAGGAAAATGAGCAAACCACTTCTGACGGACAGCGTGTGCGTGAGCGTGTAGGAGTGCTTGGGTTGTCCTCGCCCACCCAGCTCTCCATCCCCAGAGGGAGAATGACTGGAGGAGGCTGGTGGTTGCCAGGATGGTCCCCCCTCTTTCGCTAAACCTGCGGATACTGGGCTGCCCTGTAATCCGTGGGACTAGAGAAGGGCAGGCCTCCGCTCCTCCTCCCCAGGGGCCATGACCCTCACACACCCCCACCCCCACCCGCCACACCACCCCTCTCGGGACACACACGCAGTACTTGGGGCGACTAGGCGCCACTCCCACGCCAGAGCCCTGCCCCGCGCCCGCCTGGGGCCGAGCCGCCTGGCCCCTTCTCTTGTACCCCCACCCCCGCCCGCTGCCTAGGCTCCAGATGGCGGCTCCTTGCGCTCGGCTCGCGGCCCCCAGACGCCGCCCGGCAGCAGCCGGCGGTCGCTCCCTCCCTCTCAGCTGCTGCAGCAGAGACCGGGGCCATTTCGCGAGGCGGACGGGCTCCTCGGCAGGCTTGGATTGGGGTGGGAGCGCGGCCGCTGAGGGGCCCGCAGTAGCTGCGCTCACGGGGAAGGAGCCCCACAATCCCCAGGTAAGGAAGCCGCGGGGCAGGCGCAGGGTGGGGAAGGAGGAGCCTGAGCGTGCCGGTACCCAACCCTCTCTCTTTATTGACCTCCTCCCCTCTGCCCCTTCATCCTGGGCGCGGAGGGCGGAACAGTTTCTGGACCGGAGCACCCGCGAGAAGCAGGGAGCGGCCGCACAGCAGCCAGAAGGGGGCGCCAGCAGCCAGGGGCCGGTGCTACCGGGTCGGCTCTGCCGGGGCGTTCCGCCCCCGCCCCAGTGAACCGTCCCTCGGCCGCAAAGATGCCCCCTTCCGCTGGAAAGCGGTATTGCCCTCCGCCCACCGCTACCACCCCTTCCCCATTTTTCTCGGTTCTACCTGTACTCCTCTCTCGTCTCCTTTTTGCTTCTCTCTCTCTCTCTCTCCCACCTCTCTCTCCCTCTCCCTCTCTTCGTCTCTCTATCTTTCTCTCTGCCCTTGATGTCTTACTTCCCCCTCCCTCTCCGCTTGCACCCCGGCACTTTTCCTTCTCTTTTCTGATCACTGGCGTGGGGGGAGGGGTTGTCGCCCGCCGGGAGGTAGTGTGGAGGGGATGGACGTGTTTCACGCTCAGACTCTGGCTCTGGCTCCTCTCCTTAGGTGCCTCCCTGGGTGCTCGCGAAAGCAGCCCTGAGAATGGCAGCTCTCAGAGGTAGAAGTCATTCTTTTCGAGGGACAGGGCACGGCGACTGTTTGATTGGGGGGTGAGTTATGCATTTGGAGCAGCGCTTCCCTGGAATGCAGAACTGGGGATTTCCCTTGCAAGACGGATGCTTGAAGTTCAGTAGCTTAGTACTGAGCCCCTTTCTCCCACCGAAAAGTCATGACAGTCAAGAGTCTGAGTCTCTCTCTCTCTCTCTCTCTCTCTCCCCCCCCCCCGCCCCTGCCTCCTTTCCAAAACCCTAAAGACGGCCTCCCGGGCCAGTCTTCCCCTTTTTTTTTCAGAAGCAGTTGCGCTGGGGGTGGGGAAGTGGAGGGAAGGGACATTGAAAGGCCGCAGTGGCTGGCATCTCCGGGCCCGTCCGATGTCCTCTCTAATCCCCCAGTGTTCTGGCGCGTGCCCACAGCGCCCCCAGACCCTCCACTCGCCCGTGCGCCGAGGTCGTCGGGTTTTAGACCCAGAGAGCACGTTCTGTAAGCTCCCGGCCCAAATCCCCTCGGAAAAATTAATCACAACGACCAGCGGATGCAAAATGTGTGCCTGTGTTGAGTCTGTCTTTTAATCCCGAACGTAATTCTAAAAAGCAGCATCAGACAAGAGCTTTATTAATCCCTTACACGAGCAAATGCGATCTCTGACCTACTAGACTTGTTTTCCTGCAATTTCACAGAGTTAGCCTCGCTAGAGGAATGTGCAAGGACAGAAGGGAAACTGAGGAGACCCGCGGCTCATTAGCGAAATAATAGGGTGCACTTCAATAAAAATGCAGTCCTGAAGTGGAGTGGACTCACCGGCAAGGAGCCTGGAAAGTCGACAGGGTCGGCGGCAAAGTGAGTGATGGGGATTGGAGAAAGGGGTAGGATTGGAGGAAGGGCCTCAGGCACAGTGTGGTTGGGAGCTGGAGTGGGAACCCAGTTCTGTCTCTTCCGAAGGCTTAGGACCCATGTGACTTAATTTAGGGGCTGTCCCCTTTCGAGGGCACTAGGACAACTGCAGGGGCGCACCTGCCATACGGATGAGTTCAGAGTTTGATCTCTTGGGGCCTGTTTCTCGCACTTGAGATTTCACTATCATGTCGTTCAATTAATCACATTTCCCTTCTCCCATTTTATTCAAAACCATCTTCCAGTTCCCTCATAATCGTAATTTGCGTCATTGCCTTTTATCGTTGATTAATTAGGAAGCCGAAAATGATAATGGAGGGTCAGGCCAATAAATTAGCTTTAGGAACAGACAGACGGACGTCCGAGGTTGCTGCATGGGTGGGCACTGTGGCCGGGGCCACCGTCGCTGCGGCGCTGCGCAGGAAGGGGTTAAGGAAAAGGCGCTTGGTACTGGCTGAATGGAGAGATCCACTCTGAAATAAACCCGGTGGGCACAAGGGAAAACTTCTCACTGCACTAAGTGGAGAGACTCCTGTGACGCTTAGCTTTTCCCGTTTGGTATAGAAAAGGAAGGACTGGTTTGGTATAATAACGGAGAAAAGGAAGGCTGGGGTAGGATAAGAGTCAGACTCCTGTTTCTTTCAGAGGCCTCCCTACTAGTGGGTAAACAGGTTTAAAGTCTGGGCCTTATTAGGAGCCTGGTTTTTTTCCAGAACTGGAATGTTAGATTTACTTTTGCATCCTTTCCTTCCTCTTTCCACTTACCTACTGGTCTGAAAGAGGGAAGAAAGAAGAGAAGAAATGAGGGGGGAAGGAAGAGACGGGAGAGAGAGAATGCGGGCGGAGAGGACGGAGAGAGAGAGAGATTGTTAAGATCAGATCAGTTAACTCCCTGGCCAAAAAAGAAAGTTGCTAATGTGGAGTTACTCCCTGCCCTCAAAGAAGCAGCAGCTCTGGGCGGGTAGGGTCTCCTCTTCTCTCCCTTCATGAAATCGATCATGCCTCCAGAGGGCTAAAGGAGAGCACTTTGCCACTCTTCACAGCTACACCCTGGCCTCTTTAGCTTTCAATTGAAAACCAATTAAAGGTTTCTATAAATCTGTTAGTGCCCTTTTATCTGGGGACCCCTGATGCATGCGATATTGCCCTTTAGATGCCTCTTCCGTGTTTTGTTTTGCAATTGTTGTATCAATATAATGCAGCCTTTCTTCTCCTGTCTCTATAGATACAGATACACAAGGAAAGCCAAAGCTATTCAGGCTCCTCATTTGTCCAGCAGCCTAACAGTGGTGCCCTTTCTCTGCTGCTGCTTTCCCTGCTTCGGGAGCAGCAGTTATGGTAGAAGCAGATGGCTACTGATTGGGGGAGCTTTGTGGCTCTAATACTGAATACTTTATGGAAAAGGACTTTATCATGCTTCGTTGGGCAGAGGAACAAGGGATGAGATTTATGGCCAGGAAAAATAAATCTTTTTCCAAGTTGTGGCTCCTTCTCACCAATGTCTCCTTTGCCCCCGGGGTAGAACACTGAGGAATTGGTTTTATTTTATTCTCCTTTTTGCTAATGGAACCTTTTAGTCAGGATAGTGGACTAAGAGCTAGAACTTTACGAAATACCCCAGGTTGCTGCTGTATCAGCATTCTCTGCCCTCAGGAAAAAAAAAAAAAAAAAGGCAGAAGAACATCATTTTGAATGCTGTTTCAGGCCATGTTTTCTTGGATGTCCTCTTAGTTGATGGGTAAAATATCATTGTCCATTATTTTATTATCTATGAAGAACAGAAAAGAAGGATATACTGGTGTTGAAGGAGAGGGGGAAATGATGGGGCATTTGGTGATGCAGGTATGCTTCTCTACTTTGAGAGGGTCTGAGCTGTGAAGATAATTAGGGGATGTCTGAGAATTTAGGGTTTGGGGCTCCAAATTGAATTTCCAAGGTTTGGGGAATATACAGAGTCCAACCCTATACTGGAGGCCTAATTCGCCCCAAGATAGTGCATATCATTTCTCCTTTCTTCTCTTCACCTGAGTTTTACTTCTCTAACTTCTCTTGAGTCAGGTTTACTCCGTGTCTGTTGTTGGGTTGTGCCCCTCCTCTATATGCAAGGGGATGCAACCTCCAGTCCTCAGAGTCTTTTCTTCTAGAGTAATGTCACGCCCCCTTCCTGAGATCTATAACATGAAGTCACACAGAAATGCTCCTATAGAGCCCCAAATGCCTACTGGCAACCTGGCACCAAGAGATGGTAGTCAATCCCAACTCTGGGTCTCCATTCCCATTTCAGACAAACTGTTTGTCTCCTTGATTTTTGAAATGTCATTTTCTGTTCAAGAAACATTTGTTGAGTGTCTTCCATGTTCCAAGTCCCTTTTCTCTGCCTTTTCAATGATTTTACCTTGTACCTAAACACTAAAGAGAAAAGGCCAGGAGGACAGGCATTCAACTTCCACAAGGGTCCCCTAACTTTCTGCCGCAAGCTACTTCCTTCCAACTCTCCAGGCACTACCACCCCACACACTGACATACATCTTTGCATCTTGTTTCTCTCCAAAGAGGAAAAAAAGTGGGAGGAGAGAGCTGAGATTTTTAAAATTCTATTTACCCAGCATTCCAAAGCAGAGGACACTGAGATGCTTTAAACTTTGGGCATTTATTTCGTGCTAGGCTGAATGCTCTGCCAGCCTCATCACACTTAATTCGCATGCTGATCCTTTAAGTATGATGTTATTGATGTTAAATATTATAATATCCCTATTTCACAGATCCCCCTGCTTCACAGGAACCAAAAGCATAGAGATGCTAACTAACTCAAGCAAGTGGCCTAGCTGGGATCTGAACCCAGGCTTGACCTGCAATATTCATAACCACTCTATGAAATAGATGTTGTCTTTACTATTTTACAAATGAAGATACTAAAGTTCAGAGAGGTTAAGTGATTTGCTCAAACACACAGGTAGGAGATTATAGACCCAGGGTTGAGACCTGAGTGTTCAAAATCCCAAATATCAAACTCTTAACCACTGCCTCTTGGATCCTTCAGAAGGAAGAGCAACTGGGAACCCACAACTGACCGCTATTACCTGATCCCCAGTCCTAGACTGGGCAGAAAGTTTCATATAACGTGAGACGGTGGGCGTGGGGAAAATGTAAATCTCCCGTTCAGAGCAGCGCCTGCGTGGAAGCGGCGTGGTTTAGGGGAACGAGGCTCCGCAGGGCTTCGCCAGCCAGACAGGGGGCTCCGTCTGTCATGCGGCCCACAGTGCTCCGCTCGAAGCCAGCGTGCGGGCGCTGGAACAAGGAGTGAGGGCAGCCACAGGGGGAACCCGCCCTGCACGAAGCTCCAGTGCCAATGATGTAGCTGCTGCCTCCGGGCACTAGTTACCTCGTCCTGCCAAGCTCCAGTACTTGGGCGTGTAGGCAAGGGCTGGAGCCATCCACCCGGTCCGCATCTGAGCCACAGCCCTTCACAGGAGTGGGGAGGTCACGCGCGCTGTAGGAGGCCCAGAGCCCTGGTCAGCGTTGGGAGGCCCGGTCCTCCAGGTTTCTCTGCTCACCCCCAGACCTCGGCTTTTGGCTGCGGTGCTGGAGTTTACCATTAACGTGTTCACATGCTTCTCATCCCACGGAGTCGCCCGGATGAGCCTTTAACTGCCTGACTTACTCGCGTTTCTAACGTGGCACCGCGACCCTGACCCTTCGCACCTCCACCAGGCCTAAAGAAAGAACTCGCAAGATGGGCATGGGAGGATGGAAGTCAAATATCAATCTACCAGGCCGGCCTTCCGCAGCAAACTGATTGCTCTTCCATTAAACCTGGGGTGGGGGTGGGAGGTGCGCGGCGCGGGCTGGGAAGGAAGGAAGAGATGACTGCCTTTCCTTCCGTTTCGCCCTAGAAACTTCGGGAAATCCTCAGCCCTCGCTGGGTCACTTGGAAAGTGGGTGGACAATACAGTTCCCAGTTTTCTAATGAGGAAACAAAGGCAGTGTTAGTAACAATAGGCAGCTCTGAAATGGGCATTTAGTATGTACCAAGCCTTGTTCTCTGCTTCCTAAGTATCAACTCAGCCCTAACTTTATGAAAAGGGTCCCTTTTATGCCTTCAGTTCACAGATAGAGGACTGAAGTACAGACCAGTTAAATTACCTGGGGGGGGGGGGCCTGGGATTCGAACCCATGCAGTCCTGGTTCCCCTATGGAGTTGTGGGCTTTCCTGAGCCTGAATTGTTAGTCCTTCTTCTTGGGTCAGTTCTCCAGACTTCTAAGGAGAATGTTCATTAATGAAAGCATTGAGACCATCTCGTGTCCAAGACTGAAATGAAACTAGCCCTGGCTTTTGGAAGTGATCCCTTACCATCTGCTCAGCAACTGGCTTTCCAAAGCGCGTTCGCCCTCGTTCCCTTAGAGTCCTCACTGCGATCCGGGAGGCAGCTCTTGCCAGCTTTAGTTCAACCGGAGGAAAACCAAGGCTGAGGTAGGTCACCGGCAGCCCAGCTAGTAAAAAATGGGAACACAGGCTCCTGCCCCGCGAGACGAGATCAGGCGACCAGCTGCTCGAGGTGGTGCACAGAGGCAGGGAGACAGGGTGGTGGAAAGAGTGTTAGGTTCCCGGAGACCCCGCCCTTGGGACGCCTTTCCGCAGGTAAAGTGCTCACCTAGCGGGAAGCAAGTGATGGCATTAATTGCCGATGGAAGGCTAAAGAACAAGGGAAATGTGGCGGGCCTTTGGGAACTGCATTTCCTCCCTGCTTCGCCCAGGGTTCATCTGGAGCGTACCAAGCGCGCAGCTTGGCCCTACACTGCCCCACATTCACGGTTTATGCACTGTGCCCCTACCAGGGCGACGCCGGGCAGATGATGGCTTGTTTTGTTCTGCCCTGGTCGCCTCCTGTGTCAGGGCTCTGCACTCTTTGGTGAATCAGCTCAAATGATGTGATCTGTGTCTGCGCCTCCTGACACTGTGGGGGCGTTGCCCTCCTTGGATCTCTCCCAGGGAAACCTGGTTTGCCCACATTGAAGTCCCTCATTTGACCTTCTCTGCACTCTTAATTCTGTGGCTGTACCTTTCACTAAGACATCGGCACCGGACAATGTAGACATCAAGAAGTATTCGAGTCTAGCAGGCACTTCTGTGCCTTGTCTTGCTTCCCAAACTCAGGACTCAAACTCAGCTGTGTGGGGCCTTGAGGAGGAGCCGCTAATTCAGTCCCGCAGGTTAAAAATAAAACTCGTTGCACTCAGTGCGTTGGCATTGGCTTTCTCGAGGGTATTTTCAAAAGTTCAGGGGAACCCCACTTATCTGGAACACAGATGTCTTAGGACTTCAGTTTTAAACTGACTTTAGAATATAGATAATGCTGTGGGGTAGCTGATCACGCACACAAGATATTAGATAGTAACATTATACTCAGGATATATTCTTTACAACTCTATTCAATTTGCTCCCTTGGGACCAATTGCTGTCCTGAATGATTTCACACGAACTATTTTCTCGATACCATCTTACATGAAAACATCCAAAAAAGAGAACTGGCTTCTTAATGGACAAGCATCCAAGTAAAATGACAGTCCTACAACTTATTTTTAATTGATGCCTTTGACAACATTCACCCCAACCTTCTTAAACACACACCCATACCCATATATGCATAGAGGACCATTTCTGCTCAGGTATAAAGTTATTCAGGCCTAAGTTAAATTCTAGGCCTAGCAAATCTCACCATCTAGGTCAATATATTCAACATGTTTATTCTTAGGAATTTATGAGTTTATTCTTAGGAATTTATTTAGCAATTCTGGGTATTATTTCTTTTAAAAATATGAGTTTTCATTTAAACTTCCTTAAAAGGAGATTATGAATTATATCATGGTTACTATATTACATTACAGATACTATCAAATCAGCCTGGGAGGCAGCTTTTCACTCGGCAAGTTCAAGAGAACACATATGTTGCAATCCTTGCCTATTCTTGCCTCCACTTCATAATGTAAGTCCAGAAGTGTTTATAGTAGTCATGATGTTGCTGCATTTGTGACATGTTGATCTTTCATTTTTTTTTAGGAGACCACGTTTCCAAGTATTAGCAGTGAGGAAAGACTTACATTGGTAGCTTTCAAGTGTTTGTGAAAATCTTCTGAGAACTAACAGCTTTTCATATAATGTTTTGGGAGACATCCCCCATTGATGTTAAATTAATATCCCTGGATTAACTCATAGAACACCTGGGATTAATTGAACTGAAATCATACAGTTTTCACTCAGAGTTCAGTTGGCAATATGAGCAAGGGAGCAGTTCGGGAGGATAATTTGTGAAGAAATTGAACCATATTTCCAAGACTTTTTAACACAATGTGAATCATCACTATTGTGGCTCCTAACTGGTATATACTTCTCAAATCCTCTGTGTCTCTCTCTCTGTCTTCCTTTCTTTTTACCTTCTTTGTCTTGCTCCTCTCTTCCTTGAGAAAATGAAACGTCTCTCTCTTTGGGCCTCAGGAAAGTGTACCACGGGTTTATTCCAAGTACTGGACATTTGTGTCCCCTGCCTAGACCCCTTTCCCAGAAGAGCCATGCTTTCTGCTGCTTTTTCCCCAGCAGCCCAAATTCTCACAGTCCGTGCCTCAGAAAGCTAACTGGGATTAGATGCCAAGAAGTGTAGTCTGCCCAGGATATATATGCTGTGTGTCTATCATTGCCTGTTTATTTAACTCAGGAATTACAATCCACCTAAAACAGAGAGGAAAAGGGTGGCACAGAGTTACTGAATCTTGGGATGATGTCCATTCTCCTGGCTGTGTGAAGAAATTTGATGTAGAGTCTCTCAATGTTGTCACATTCCCAAGGCCTAGAGTTAGACTTATCAAATTCTCATTTGAGACTGCTGGACACCAATTTGAGACTGCTAGACATCCCCTGATCCCCAGTCTGCCTAAAAAGCCTGACCCAGAGGGTAAGGAGGTTCAGAGTGACTGATGGCTACAACCAGCCAACCCGCCTCACACTGAGATGCATTCAAAGGGTGTGGTGTCTGAGTCTAGGAAGGACTTTGGAACCTATGGATTTGACAGAAATCCAGGTCTTTTCTTGCCAGATCGTTATACACTCATCTTGGGAGAAGTATAGAAGTTGGGAGAATCCAGGGGGTCAAAATAGTGGATATTGGATTTGGTTCAGAGGTCACACTCACACAGATGAGTATGAGGCACTTATTTCATATCTCTTGGTAGTTTTGCACAATGTCACTTCGGTTTGCTAGCCCATCTAAAAGCCATAGTCAGAGGCCATTAAGCCAGTTGACTACAACCCAGATCCAGGAGAGGAAGAGAGTAACATATAGCTTTCAAAGACTATCCCATTCTCAGCTTAACTCCAACAGAAGTGTAAGTAAAACTTGGGAACACTCAGAGAGAAAGTTTTAAACTTGAGAAAGGTAGATTATCATTGTAATGATAATGGTGGTAGTAGTAGCTACAGGAGCAGCAGGATTTAAAGCTGGACCATTTATGAGGAAAAGCCCAAGAGAGAAAAGTGTGAGTCAGGAGTAATGATCCCTACAGTTGGGATCCTGAAGTCCTTCCTCACAGGCTACAAAATTACCCAACTCTAAGTCTCTGGCTTTCCCAGGGTCAGCCTGGAAAACATTTGCTTATGTAATACCCAGTGAGCCAACTACAATACTTAGTGTGAGGAACAGACCCAAACTGAGTTTGCAGTGTATACTTATAAAAAACAAGTACCCCTCCCCACACCCCACTCCTTCATATCATTGTTTATCCAACTCAGAAGCATGCCTCTTCTCACCAAGATGTAAAACAAACAAACAAACAAACCCCTCTGTGTCTTTTTAAAAAACCCACCATGTATCATTCTCTTGATAAAGGCAAAGTGGTAGAAAATGAGTTAACAACCCTCTGAACAACATTTTTTGCACAGGCCTGGTGTTTTTCTTAATTGACCAGCCCATCATTTCTGTTTCTCTTTCATGTACAAGTAGTCAATAAGGTTCATCCCCTAAAAAGTTCCTTATTTTGAATGGTGAGGATAGGTAATGCAATTCTCCTCCTTGAAGATCTATTCTCTGCCTCCCTCAACCCTCACAGCCCCTTCCAGAGACCTCCCTGTGGGAAATTAATAAGCTTAGGAAGGAGCTGCCACTGTCTGCTCCATTGGCATCCTCTTATCTTCCAGTGTGTGGGGTTTTTTCCCCCCTTTCACCATGAATTGCCATACTCTTTTGACAATCAAGCCTTTGCTGGCATAGTGCTTTGGCAATAGAGTTAGAGGTGGGTAAGCCAGAACCTAGAAAGATATAGAAAAAGAAAATCAGTGTGTTTTCATTCTCATAGGATAATAATCTTTATGTGAATTATTCTTGGAGATGTTACCTGCCTCTTATCAAAGAAGTTGAAATATTTTGGGCTCCATTTTTCAACCCTGGGAAGAAAAAGGGTATTCCCATTCTAATACGCACTAAGAATTAAAATTCCCTTTCTTACCCTTCTCACTTAGGTCATAAAAGGCACCTCGGGTATCATTTATCAACCTCTCTCCAGCCCACTCTTCCAAAATAACACTACAGTTTCCTACATGTATATTTTTGCCAGGACTCCAAAGAGCCTTGCTAAAGTGGAACAAGGTGAGCATGCCCACTCTTCATTGTCATTCTTCTAATTTCTTAATTGGAAATAAAATCCTAGGGAAGAGAGCTCCAAATATATGCATAAACCCATTGTTCCATGTGAATTACATAAAACTGTTGACTAGGTACATTTTTATAGTACTATCTGAGGCTGAATAAATGCCTCAACCCTTCATTTAGTATCAGTGAATTCCAGTAAGTATTAATGCAGAGTGATTTCAAAGTAGTTTATGTACCATTTTAGTCCATAAATTTCTACAGAAATAAAAATAATTTGTAGATTTTCTTTATCCCCTAGTAATGATTGTCATTTAGGACATTTATATTACCAAGCAAAATGTGTACCACTTAAATTACTAGAAAACTCTCCAAGTAAGAACTTTGATTTAATCTTACTTATATTGTTTTGTTATGTCAGTTATTTAACTCATAATAAGAAGGGTAGGTCAGATTCATAAAATGTGAAGAAATTCTGATATTTAAGGATCTTTATCTGAAAGCAGTAGGAAAAACATTAATTAGAGGGCAAAAAAGTAAAACTGAAATGAAGCATCTGTTGGCCAGTTTCTCAATAAATCACTCCCTTCTCAGATGTATAAAATCGTTGCTGTTTTCTAGCTTGAGACTTAAAAAGGTCAAGCTGTTCCACCCTGAACTTAAGTATCAAAAACATTATTTTATACAAACTGGAGTCAAGGTTTTAGTACCTCAAAAGAAACATAGTTTAAATGGTCTCTGTATCTAATAAGAGAAAGGCCAGGTGCAAGAAAAATGCCTTCCATTTAGAGTTTATTTTCTAAATGTCCACATTCTGGAGTAGAGGCTTATATATTTACAATATGTAAGGTAATTTTTTAACGCTTTGCATGGACAGATGACTTTTCTTGAAAGATAAACTTCCAATGCTCTAAATAACAGCAAAAGAAAGCACTAAGGAGTGTTCTGTTCAACAGATTAATGAAATTATGTTCTTAAACACCATTCCTCACACACCATATTGCATTTATCAGTCTGTAGTTTCTAAGGGACCGCATGACTCTCTTATGGCTACTTTTCTTTATTAACTGGAAGTTGTTTACAACCATGCCTCTTCTACCCTTTACTTTTCTTCTTTCTTCTACTCGGAATTAACTTACGTTTCTGGCCACTATTCTTCAAACCTGAGGTTTATTTTCCAGATGTTTGAGACATTATTTTCACATTTCTAATTCTTCCACCCATTCTTTAAAGAAGTATTAGGGGACAATGTGTCCATGCTTTTGTGTGTGTGTGTGTGTGTGTGGAGAGAGAGAGAGAAAGAAGTGAATCTAGTATTCAGTGGAGCAATCAGTTATAAGACAATTGGTAGCTCAGTACAGCTGCAGATTCTTATATACAGACATGTGAGAGAGTCCTCATTGCACTAAGCCTTGATCATTAGGAGTCACCCTTAGCTGAAGTACATAAAATTGCACATAGCCAAAGTATGTAAAACTGCACTTCGAGAAGCTTTCTTTGAAAAGTTAGTAGCTAACCTGAAAACTAAGGAATTCCCCACTTTCTCTCAAAATATGGGGATTTAACAGCCCTTCCTTCTGTGAATTTCAGCTTAGTTCTAGGCAGCAATTCAGAACTTGCATGGGGTACTGACCAGAAAAGAGAAGGAAACACACACACACACACACACACACACACATACACAGAGAGAGAGAGAGAGAGAGGGAGAACAAGGAAGAAAATGAACTTCATGGGAAAGTCCTTGCACTTGTTTCTCCTCAGGAAAATCCTCCCCTGGCCTCCTGGGACTGCAGTCACCAGGCTGTCAAAGCCTCCATACTCCACTGAGTTCCAGAGAAGGGTCTCAAAGCTGGGAGAGGATCAAACTAACATGGTAAGCTGCTTTTTGCCAACTCCCCAAATACATTATTTCAACAACAACAACAAGGAAAAACAACACCAAGGAGGCTGTCTCCTTAAGTTGTGGTTGTACCTCCTCCACTTTAGCCAGCTGCACAATCCGATTTATCCTAATGCTGACAGATTGCCCACTTCAAAGTAGTGGTGGTGTGGGTGGGGCTGAAGAAGTTGAGAAACTATCTATACCACCCAAAGGCCTTTCTTCCCTTAGGAGTAGAGAATTGAACTGTGAAAAAGAAGCCCGAGATCCGCCAGCGAAATGGTGTTGCAGCCCCGTTGAAGGAGTCAACTTGCAGGCTGTTAAAGACCTCAAGTCATTAGCATCAGCTGCTGCACTAAAGGGGCAAGTCAGCGCCTCTAAGTGGCTTAGCGCACAAACGAGGCTCCCGAGACGGCCTTGGCAACTCCATCCCCTCCTCCACCACCCGCTGGATGCGAAAAGCTTTCCGGAGCCCATCTTGATACTTGATAATCATTTTTATTTTGAATCACCCTTGCCTCGCAACCCCAAGACCTTAGAGTGCCAACAGCACCCATTATAGGACTCCCTCTGGGGCTGTGCAGATTCTGCACGAAGCAGAAGGCAAAAACAAAAAACAAAAAACAAAAAACAAAAAAACCAGGAACTGTTTGAGTCCACTAACCTGCGCTCTTCCCACCAACCTCCGGCACCCCACCTCCGCCCACGTACCCGTGTCCTGGGACTAGGAGGTACCGTTATGTCCCCTTCCGAGGTCTGGTGACATTCTCACTCCAACCTCATCTCCCGAGCCATGGGAAGGCTGAGCCAAGTTCTCACCAAAGCGCATCCTTTCTGAATTTTGCAGGGGGAAGCTTGGTAGTGTTGGTGCTCCTCAAGAGAGACGACGCCCGTTTATCAACCCCAGGCAACTAGCGGCGCAAATCAACGGTGGCTCCAGGGCTAGAGAATCCCTGGGGCTAACCGCACCCCTCTCCCTTTCACGGAACGTGGACTCCGGGGAAATACGCTCGGGGTCCGCACGCGCTGGGTGTCCAGCTCTCTGTCATAGCTTCTCCAAGTGCCTAGTGAAACGGGGAAAGGCCCTCTCCAATCCTTTTGGTACCTTCCTTTCCAATCCTGAAACGATTTTCCCCTCCTAGCCGTCCCAGAGGGCCCGAGCTTTAGGAAGAGGCGGGCCGGGACGCTCTCTGAGAGGCGTTGCCACCCGGGGTAGGCGCTCATGATCTGCGGGGCGCGGGCAGGCCGGAGGAAAAAGCTGCGAGGCAGGCGGCGCCGGAGGGAGCTCCTGGCCCAGCAAAGAGTTAAAGGGAGGGGACGTGGGCTGTCACGCGTCATTGGGCAGATTATGTGCAGCAAACAAAAAGTGTGTGTCTGCGTGCCAGTCAGTCACTGCATCGGGTCCATCTGTACAACTCTCTCCGTTTCTCCGTCTCCCTCTCTCTCTCTCTCTCTCTCTCCCTCCCTCCCTCCACTCCCCAATCTTTTTCTCCCCATCTCTCCATCTTTCTCTTATCTCTTTAGGAAGAGCCTAAAAGCCGGCAACACCAACACCTCTTGACATGGAAATACACTGATACAATAGGCAAAAAGAAACACTCGATTGCATCTTCCGGGTTCCAGGTGGCCTTATTTGGTAGAGTCTATACTGACCTTATTCCTGGTAAGTCTATTTGCATTGATGTGGGAGGGGGATGGGAGGAAGGCAGTTTGGTGGAAAGAGTAGAAAATTTTGTCTTCCGTCTCCTTATTATCCAGAAGAGAGAGAAAAATAATTCTTGAGGGGCTCTCTACTGCCAGGAATATTGTACAAAAGGAGGAGCGGGTGGGGAGCACTTTGCCGGAGAAGCCAGGGACTGGGGAGCGCGCGGCCGCCAGACAATGCCTGACTAGAGGGACGGGCCAGCGGCGGGCAACAGCGACCGGCTTTCAGAAAGCCCCGCCGACTCTGGGGTATATTCCCAGGGCAGGCGGATAAGAACCTGGGCCCAGAGCGGGGCACGGAGCTGTGAAACGTTGGGTGGCAAAGGCGACCGCACGCGGGCGGGCGCTCCTAGGCTCTTGCCCAGCGGTTATTGTGATGGGCTTGAGGCTCGTGGCGGCTGGCGCGGCGACTCCGACCGCTATTAGCGCGGCGGAGTGAGGACCTTTTCACCGTATTGTTAGGTAGAACTGCATTTTAATGACTGTGTCCCTGCTGTTGCCCGAAGTGACGGGGGCGACCTCCCAGCACAATGAAATGCTTGTGGGAAAGAGATTTTTAAAAGGAAGAGAGAAATTGGGGCATAAAACGCTGAATTGAAGGAAATTGAAAAGAGGAGAATAGGATTCCGTTGAAAATGAGATGAGAGGTTATGGGTTTTTTTAAATGTATTTTAATTTGAAATGAAAAATCAGGATGTCTACCTTGTATGGGGTAAAAATGTCCAGGGATAGATGATGTAGAATAATAAAGTTTCTTCTTTATGGATATTTTCCCTCATTTCTGCTGTCTGGTAGATACAGCCCAACACTTGACATTTGGGGGATGCAAGAGGATGAATGGAAAATGAGACGAACCAAAGTTTTAGGCTATGTTAGCTGGAATGGGGTGAAAAAAGCACACCTTGTAGTCACACGTGTAAGATTAATTGGTTAATATAAATTAAAATAAAAACAGACGTCGCTGATATTATTCCATAATGAACAGCTTTGCAGGAAAAGAATTAGATCTACTCTTTCCTGTTACTTTAATTATACAAAACATACATAAATAATTGCCAACAGTGACATTATCAGGGAGCAACAAACTTGGAGGAATCTTTTGATTAGTTTGAAATACTAAGCAATGCAGCTAGTTCAAAGCTAGTTAAAAAATTTAAACACCTGTTTCTTTTTTTTTTTTTTAATGATAAGTCTTGTATGGGGTGTCCAGAGGAAGGAAAATGTCCCTTTATGACAGCTTAATAGAGAACCCTCCATTGGGGCATTACTTTCTAAATTGCTGTGGATTAAACAGCTGGAGAGCCCACTGAGGAGTGCTCAAGGAGGGCTGCCCCCTCTTGCCCAAAAAGGCTCATATGGGGTAGGGGGAGTGAAAATTTACCAGTCATTACACACAGTATTTCAGACTGGGGACACTTTAGGCCTGTCCTGTACCTGCTCACTTCATGAGCTACATGTGACTCAATCCACCCCCTTGTTTAACAAGGTAACCGGGATTCACTCTCATCCATAAATAAGCATGTCCAGAAAAAAAATTACCTCTGCTTGCTGCTTTTAATTAAAGCCTCAGAGGAACAGTGTTGGATTATGGTAATGAGCAGACATACGTCCCTTCTTGTAGGCTGCAGAGAAAGGTTAGCTGACACAGAATTAGTGGCCCTGACACTCCACTTGAAATCCATTCGCCATGCTCCGCCGTCTCCGCCTGCTCACTAACACTGCTCCCCTCTTTGGAAGAAAAGGAAAAAATCAGCTCCCGGGCACCCAGTTCAATACATAGGCAAAGGCACTTTTCCCCAAAGGTTAGAAGTTTCTTTCAGTAAGGGAAGTCTATAGGCTGGTTAAAATATATGTGCGTGTGTGTGTGTGTATAATATATAAATATATATAATATATAAATATAACATATATATAATATATATATTCTGCCTTGAACTTCACCTCCAAAACCTACCCAATCCAACATCAAGGTAATGCAAAAATGATCTAGTCTTTCCCAGCCCTTTCTTTTCTTTCTTCCAAGCAGTCAGCTCCAGATTTCCCACTATTCTAATTATTTTAACAAGTATCTCTTAGTTTTCATCTTTAAAATATGCCATGTTTATCTCCTATAATTTTGAAATAAGAGCTATGCAAAAATCAGGCAGGTGCAAGGAAAATCTGCCTACTATTTGAACAGTTCTGCCTAGGTTAATGGCAGCAGAAGCAGTATTGTAACTCACTTTCTTGTGCTGTGTGTCTATCTCCAGTGATGGAGGATACAGGCATCCAGCGAGGCATCTGGGATGGAGATGCCAAGGCTGTCCAACAATGTCTGACAGATATTTTTACCAGCGTTTACACCACCTGCGACATCCCTGAGAATGCTATATTTGGTCCCTGTGTCCTGAGCCATACTTCCCTATATGACAGCATAGCTTTCATAGCTCTCAAGTCTACTGACAAGAGAACAGTACCTTATATCTTTCGGGTAAGTCTCCGCTGGAGCTGTGTAGGTGTATGAGGGTAATGTTCTGTTGGAAATGGACTAAAAATAATTCTAATGACAAGTGGAGATAGGTTTTGCCTGTGGAAAATGCAATAAAGCAAGCAATCCATTTCACACATAAAAAATTAGAAAAGGAAAATTAAACTCAAATTATTGTCAACTGATTTTTTGGAATAAATGACAAAATTTGATTTGGAATGTCAGAAATATCTAAATCAGTGCTTCAGTTCTGGTTTATCCTGGTGATAAACATGACTTCCTAAACTCTGGGAGATTTCATGGGGCGGAGGCTATTTGCATACTAACTAGTTTCTGCAAGTTCTTTGACAAGTATTGGGTATATTTGCCTTCCATTTGAGGAGGCTACTTCATCCCCTAAATATTAGTTTCTTTGGTAATATTAGCTAGTGCCCAGAGTTTGTATTTAAGTAAAAATGTTAATGGTTTTGATAGTAAAGCATCATTAAATCCATATGTCTGAATTGGAAGATAAAAGGCCTCTCATTTCCTATTCTTCTTTACAAAGAAAAGCTATTAATTGTTCGAGCCAGGATTTGGAACATGATTGCCATAGCGTAATTTCTAAGATTTAAGCTTGCTTTATTTCTGAAACAAACAAAATTCTCCATACGTTTGTAATGTGGGATAACTTAGAAGTAAACTCTCAAGACGTTAACACTAAATTCTAAGAAGAAATTTCCTTATTTAGTATTCAACCAATATATAAAAACGGTGACTTAAATGATCTGTATGATTGATGCAGTGTTTCAAAAGATGGTTATCTTGCCTACTGGTTACAAACATGAGGACAGGTCCCAGCTTGGGCCAAATTTTTGGAAGCGTGGTCTCAGATAATTTTTGGAAAAGAATAACATAGAAGAAATGGCCTTGATTCTTCTGATTTCATTCTCTCATGAGAGTCCCTCTCCCCTCTCCTTCTTGTCTTTTTTCATCTATTTCAAACCGCAGGTAGACACCTCAGCAGCAAATGGTTCCTCAGAAGGTCTCATGTGGCTGCGGTTGGTCCAGTCGGCCAGAGATAAGGAAGAGCAGAACCTTGAAGCCTATATAAAAAACGGACAGCTGTTTTACCGCTCTCTTCGCAGGATTGCCAAAGACGAGGAGTTACTAGTTTGGTACGGGAAAGAACTGACTGAGTTACTCTTGCTCTGCCCCTCTAGATCCCACAACAAAATGAATGGTAGGTTGGCTCGCGACCGGCGTGTGGGCCCTTAACTAGCGGGGGAGAGACGCAGGGAGCGGCAGGGGCTCACCCGGCGCGTTGGCGCGTCTTTCTTCCCTTTGGGTGTCTCATAGGAAGATTCTGAGATATAGTTCGGAATGAAGCTAAACAGATAGGTGAAGATAAAGCAAGGAAACTTGACTTGTTTGCTGTATTTCCCCCAAATCAGGAGGGAAAGTTAGATCAGGTTGGTCATTCTTTTCTCAGGCACTCAGGCCCTGAGAAATGAAGGTGGATTTGTCAAGGGGATGGTGGCAAACTGGCTTGGGGGCGATGCTGAGTAATCATGTGGTGTGCGTGTGTGTGTGTGTGTGCGCGCGTGCGTGTGTGTGTGGTGTTTGCTCACTAAGCAGGGTCGTCCCCTTACACATGCCTGGAATGCAGCCAACGTTTCCAGTTTGAGTTCCCCTATGTGGCGCATCTGCGTTTCCGCTGCCCCAAGAGACTTCACAGCGCTGATATAAGTCCCCAAGACGAGCAAGGCGGCGGCGTGGGCACCAAGGACCACGGGGGCGGCGGCGGCGGTGGTGGCAAAGACCAGCAGCAGCAGCAGGAGGCACCTTTAGGCCCAGGTCCCAAGTTTTGCAAAGCCGGTCCCCTCCACCACTACCCAGCCCCCTCCCCCGAAAGCAGCAACCCACCTGCTGCCGCCGGCGGCAGCAGCGCGAAACCATCCACAGACTTCCACAACCTGGCCAGGGAGCTGGAAAACTCCCGGGGAGGCAGCAGCTGCTCCCCAGCCCAGAGCCTCAGCAGTGGTAGCGGCAGCGGCGGCGGCGGCGGCCACCAGGAGGCGGAGCTGAGTCCCGACGGCATCGCCACGGGCGGCGGCAAAGGAAAGAGGAAATTCCCGGAGGAGGCGGCGGAGGGCGGCGGTGGCGCGGGTCTGGTAGGCAGCCGGGGCCGCTTCGCAGAGCGGCCCCTCCAGTCCTCCAAGGAGGATCTGGTGTGCACACCGCAGCAGTACCGAGCCTCCGGCAGCTACTTCGGCCTGGAAGAGAACGGCCGCCTCTTCGCGCCGCCCAGTCCCGAGACGGGCGAGGCGAAGCGCAGCGCCTTCGTGGAGGTGAAGAAGGCGACCCGCGCGGCCGGCCTGCAGGAGGAGGGTACCGCCGACGGCGGGGGCGTCGCCTCCGAGGACCAGGACGCTGGCGGCGGCGGCGGCTCCTCCACACCCGCGGCCGCGTCGCCGGTAGGCGCCGAGAAGCTGCTGGCCCCGCGGCCCGGGGGCCCGCTGCCCAGCCGGCTCGAGGGCGGCAGTCCTGCGAGGGGCAGCGCCTTCACTTCGGTGCCGCAGCTGGGCAGCGCGGGCAGCACCGGCGGTGGGGGCGGCACGGGCGCCGGGGCCGCAGGCGGCGCGGGCGGGGGCCAGGGCGCCGCGTCGGACGAGCGCAAAAGCGCCTTCTCACAGCCAGCACGCTCCTTCTCGCAGCTGTCCCCGCTGGTGCTGGGCCAGAAGCTGGGCGCGCTCGAGCCATGCCACCCCGCCGACGGCGTGGGCCCCACTAGACTCTACCCCGCCGCCGCGGACCCTCTAGCGGTGAAGCTCCAGGGGGCCGCGGACCTGAACGGAGGTTGCGGGTCCCTGCCTAGCGGCGGCGGGGGCCTACCTAAGCAGAGCCCCTTCCTGTACGCCACCGCGTTCTGGCCCAAGAGTTCCGCTGCCGCTGCAGCCGCAGCTGCTGCGGCGGCCGCGGGGCCTTTGCAGCTGCAGCTGCCCTCGGCGCTCACGCTGCTGCCGCCCTCCTTCACCTCGCTGTGTCTGCCCGCACAGAACTGGTGTGCCAAGTGCAACGCCTCCTTCCGCATGACCTCCGACCTGGTGTACCACATGAGGTCGCACCACAAAAAGGAGTATGCGATGGAGCCCTTGGTGAAGCGTCGGCGAGAGGAGAAACTCAAGTGCCCCATCTGCAATGAGTCCTTCAGGGAGCGCCACCACCTCTCCAGGCACATGACCTCGCATAATTGACTCGGAAAGGACCCCAGCTTTCCGCGCGCGCGCACGCACAGTCAAGCCACCTGCAGGAATAAACACGCGAGAACATCCACCGCTTCCTTGTACCCCGAAACACTGCACAAAGACACATACAGTCACCACTCCCCCCCAACACGCACACACGTCCTCCCCTTCTGGGAACTTCATTCAAATATTTACCCGGCACACACACACCCACCCACACACAGACACACACACACAAGAGCCAGGATGGTGGATTTTTGATTGGGTGGGTTGAGGGGGTTTTCTTTTGAATGCACGCATTTTCACTTTCCCCAAAACAAAGGTACATTTTTAAAAATGTCATATATTGCAGCATATTGATGCATTTGTCATACGTTTCTACTTAAATTATTAAGCACTTACGATTTAGATGTAATAATTATATGTAAGGGCAAAATTTATTTTAGATATAAAGTAAAGGAGGAGGGCGAGATGCTTTCTGCATTTCTTGATGATAGTTTGTGTTCTTACAAAAATAAACAAAATGAATAAAAAGGGGTCGCCATTCAATTTGAGTTTCCAGGGGGAAGTGCATGTATAATGAAATGATTATGGACTTCAATGAAGAATGTCATCAATTATGTAAATATGTATTTCCTTTTAATACAAAGTGTAATTTTGTGCCAGTGAAATGGAGTCTGAATAGTTATGTGTGTCTTTTATCCCTGGAAATATTTATTAAACTTTATAGTTTATCGGAGTATGTTGGATGCTTTGACAATAAATGACTATTTTCTTCAAAGCAAATATTTGGAAAGTTTTTAAATTTTATTGTTGTAACTAAGGACTATACTTTGAGTAAGTATCATTTATTTTCACTGAATTCCTGAAAAGAAGGGAAGAAACAGCATAAGAGAGGAATGATAAACCTGGCACCATTTGCATTTATTTACTCTAAGCCAATTTTGAGCCTAAAAGAAGGTAAGTTTTTATTATCACTTCGAAAATATTTAGCTGGAAAGTGTTGCACCTCTTGATCAAAGACAAATCATTTAGACAAAGATGCCTGTCATGCAGCTAACCTGTCACTGGGACACCAGCATTCTTTTCAGCAGCAGGATAATTAGTATCTTCACAAATGGCCTGAGACAAACAATGTTCAGGCTGGGATCTGTGAGACCAGATGAAAAGCCCACTTTAGGTTCTACTAGTGATGGCTACATAGGAGGGTATCTTGTACTCTAATGTCATTACAATGGCATTCTGTCATAATCTATTTAGAGATCCTGTGGGGGAGTTTCCCTAAAAACCAAGGTGAAATGACCATAGTTTGATCATGGTCTATGTATTGCAAGGCCCAGCTTTCCTTATAAAGGCATTGACAACTGCATAGCCTCTGCAAAAAAAGTGTCCTGAAATGTTATAATACAGAAAAACCTGACAATTTCCCTCCTCTTTCTACTCTTCCCTCTATGAAAAGTACTTCTGTACTCTTTACATACTGATAATAATTCTTAGTTAAATATTGAGTCTACAAAGTCTAGGTGTATGTGATGTGACCAGTAACCATTAGACATAAAACCAAATGAACAATGATCCTTTAGGCCTTAGGATAGCATGCACTTAATCCATAGGCATCTTCATAGTCACTCTGGAAACAGGCACTACACTGGTTTAGCTATCACAGGAGTTGTGTCATTTTCCCCCCCCTTTCTTCACATCCTGAAGACTCTCCCCTATATAGGAAGATGGATACTTGTGAAAAGGTCTGACATGGAAAGTTGTATACAAGGTCTCATTATAGGCTTTGCAATGGTTTTCCCTAACAGGATATTAAAGCCTTCATTATTTTAGGACCTCTACAAAGCAAGTTATGATTAGGGCAGGGAGCAGGTTAAGAGTAAGTATAGAGCAAAATGATGTACCTATTGGGAATGTGACCTAGATTGCTAAAAAAGCAGGTGGGGTTCTTTAATATCATGCAACTTTTTTTTCTTTTTCTTTTTCTTTTTTTTTTTGCTACGTTTCTTTGAGGCCTGCTCTCAGTTTTCCTAGGCAACATGTGGATGATCAGAAACACTAATCCCCAGCAAGATGTGGTGAGAACCGTCCAAAATTCTAATTCTACCTCTGCTATTCACAACTAGTGTGACCCTGCATCGTTGTTGACATAATTTGATTTATTTGCAGCTTGGTTTTCTCATCTGTAAAATAAGCAAAGCAGGCTCTACTATTTTTTGAAAGTACTTCTAGCACTGGGAAATATTTTTTTCCCTGATGAGTTAATCAGGCTCCAATTGAACACAAAGAGGTCTTTCTAGAGAAGGGTCAAGATTGTGAAGGATATTTGATGACAAGAAGTGAGGAAGCAAATTGAAGGCAAATTTGGAGGCAAATTGAATCAACAGATCCTTAAATCGCAATGGCTGATAGGCAGACTAAATTGTCCATGTCTGGGACACTAGATCTCTGGAGCAAAAATCTCTCAAAAAGAAACAAACAAGCAAACAAACACAGCTTATCCTAGGCCTTTCACAAAAAAAAAAAAAAAATCTTGAATGCCCTTTTCCTTTCTATCTGATCCTTCTGGAATCTCCTTTTCAGGAAAGCAGCTTTACTTTCCACTGAGGATTCAGACAGGGATGAAATGAGGTCTAGAAAAAGGTAAATATTGCTTTTTGAAATTGACTTAGTTATAGGCTGGAATCATATTTTCTCAAGAGTACATGTAGACACTTTGCCATGAGTAGGCACTCGGTGAGCCTCCCCTGTGTTTTCTTTTGTAGGGTCATTAACTTAATCATAGGATCAGGAAGAAAGCCGAGCCTTGGCTGAGCTACTGTCCAGGCGATCCAGGTAGGTGTGTTAATAGCAGACACTTTCGGGCTGGGTAGCTACGCTGTTCAATCTGCCCACAAGACCATTTTGGCGGGAAGTAGTAGAGGAAGGGTGCCCAAAGCTACTTTTGCCTTCAGCCAAGGCAAATTCAGAAATGTTTTATTTTAATGCTGCATTTTCAAGCTTTCAGAGGTATATCATAACCCTCTCCTGCCTCTGAACCTTCTCAGAGGGGAGTTTCTAGGATTTTATAACTCCACCCGTCTGCTAAACTAGTTGAGGTCACTCACAACTGAGGAGAAAATGAGGTCACAGGGTCATGTAGACATGAAGCCAAGTTGGTCCCACGATGTCCAGGCAGGTGGCCAGACTTCCAGTGCCCGAACCTAGGTCCTAAAGACGGGACATTGAAAGCCAAGCGGTTGCTGCACCAGCATTTGTTGCATCCCAATCAGTGGAAGAATGTCCAGGACTGACCCTGCGCTTGGGGTCAGAGAACTCCAGGCGTGTCTGCCCAGAAGATTCCGAGTCCCTGGCCTCATTTGCCTCTCTACTTCTCCGAGGCCTTTGTGGGTGGGGGCCACCTGTACTTCCCAAGATGTGCTTGCAGGGTACCCCTGACGCCCACAGGCATGTGGAAACCGGAAGGCCCGGGAAGGGACACACACATCTTTCTTTCCAGGCCTTGGTGAGCCAAGGTGGAAACCGGACGCTCTTCGGGAAAGTTCCCAAGGTCCCAGCGACCCACTCATAAGCTCTGCGGCCGTGCGACGCCCAAAGTCCAGCTTGTTACAGCCTCAGTCGCGAGCGGGCTAGTTGTAAGCACAGGTGCGCAGTGTGGGAGAGGGAGTCTCTCTCCTGCGGTCCTCACTGCCGGGCTCCCAGCCCCTGGCCCGCGCTGCCCGTTCTTTAAGTTTGTTTTCTTAGGCGCCCTGCCCAGGGAACATGACCCTGATCGGGGAAACCTTGAACACCCAGGGCCAGTCACACTGAGAAAAGGGCTGGGAAATGCAGTTCTCCTCCTCCGCTCCCATTCCAAGGGCAGGATCTCCGAGGCAGCTTCTCCGCGCGTTCCGGCGCTTGCCATCTCTCTCTCCACCGCCGGTCCGCCCGGACTTTCCTCCGCCCTTGTAGGGCGGTGCAGCCTGCTCAGGTGCAGGAGACAGTGCGCCACTCAAGCGCTGGGACCAGAAGAGAGATGCAGCGAGGACGCGGAGCGCCGCGGAGGCTTGGAGTGCGACGAACATCCTTAGGGAAGTGTTAAATTTTCTCTTTTCTTCTCCCTTTGCCCAATCCCATGTCCTGGAATCAATTCTGCTCATTCTATGGCAGCTCCCATTTCTTCTTCCCTTAGATCCTCCGCACCTCCACACTTTTCCGTCTCTGAAGCACTTCTGGAGCTTTTCATCACCAAAGGAACTTTCTGGAAAAAAGTTCCTTTGGTGACTCTTCACCATCCACTAGGCAACTGACTGCTAAGGTTGCGGTACCAGTCCAGAGGGAGACTGCACTGCTGCGCCGTCAATTAGCTGAGCACTAGGATGACCCCAGCACCCAGGGATTGAAAGAGATGGGCAGGCGCCAACGCCCTCCTGCCCTCAAATGCACACACACACTCCACACACCACACATAACACACGACATACCACATACACGCACCACACACCACACACTGACACACCCACACAAACACACCACATACACCATGCGCACACTCCACACACCACACACACACACCACACACACCAAACACCACATACACACACCACACACACACTCCACACACCACACACACTACCCACCACACACACCACATACTCACACCACACCACAAACACACACTCCACATACCACACACTCCACACCACACACGCACTACACCACACACACACACCACAGCCACACACACCACACACACACCACACACTCCACACTCACCACACACCCCATACTCACCACATATACACACAGACATGACACATACCACATACACCACACCACCACACATACACACCACACCACACACATACACACCACATACACACACCACACATGCACCACACATACCACACACACCATGCATCACACCACACATAGACACACATCACACATACACACCACACACACCACACATACACACACACCACACACATAGACACACCACACACACACCACACACACAGTACATACACACACCACACACTACACACATACACACAAAACCACACACACCACACATACACTGCCCCCCAATACACACACACACATACACACACACACACACACAACCCAGCTGCCTCCTGAACACTTTCTCCCAGCTTGGAAATTTCATTTTCTTCTCCAAGGTGAACTATGACCTCAAAGGGGTGTGGAAAATTTAGCCTGCCCAAGAGCTAAACTAGGATTGGGGTGAGAAGGTGGGCCACTCTCTTTTCCTCCTCCAAATGCATTTTATTTGACAGAAGGCCCAGAACGTTGAGGCAGAAACATATGCCTCAGGCTGGTGGGCCTGAATGATTGCCTTCTGGCTTTGTAACCTGACGGGGCAGGAGCCGTAGAGCTCTTTGCCTCTCTGCTTCATGGATCATATTCCTAAGGCAGCCTCTGCTTTTCCCACTTTAGATATGGAACTTAGAACTTTTTAGAGACCTGTATTCTCCAGGACTAGTGAATAAAGAAACTGAAAAAAAAATTTAATTCTTTTATTTTAATCTTTAGGATTAGAGGTCTGGCACAGGTGTTCTACTTGAATAGCTAACCTGGTTATGCTGATTTATTATTTACCAACTCTTTTCAACTTGTGTGTGAGCACTAGAATATAAATCTATGCATATGTGCAGGCATGTGCCTATGTGTTCAAATATGTAAGTATATATTACAAACTGATACACATATTTATATATACAAACATACGTATACATTT